ATTTAATAGTACATATATAATTTAAGAAACAACGAGAATTATGCAACGGTTGCCCGACGATTAGAAATTTATTCGAAATCAGTTATACCCTCATGTATTAAAGTATGGAATAGTTTAGACCTAGATACTCGTAAAAGTCACTTTCAGCATTCAAAGCCAGACTTAAAATTATTTTTTCTCAGCCTCAAGCACCGCCATACTTTCTTACAGGTGTCAGGTTACCACACAAGAATTAGAAATAAGTGTAGCAATCTTAATGCCGATTTACACTATAACCATTTACGCGACAATCCAATTTGTGAATGCGGTTTTCGTTCTAAAGACGCTGACCATTACTTTTTCAAATGCCCACTGTATACTGATCAGAGGTGTACCTTATTTATTAATACACGTACTTACCATCTTAAGTGCCTATAAATTATTATTCGGTATCAACAACCTTAGTGATGAAGAAAATAACATGTTATTTCATCATGTTCAATTTTTTATCAAACGATCAAGAAGGTTTCAAAATGTTTAAATTCTAGTTCCTAAAGAGTGCTCATATCAAGGATAAAACGGACGGGCGGGAACTTCGACACACGGCTTCTTCTACTCTTTTTATTTTTTTCTCTACTGGCATCACTGTACAGCGTCCACCGGACATAGCCCCTCAAAACTCCAAAAACGAAAGTAAAATGTTTACGTCGAGTTCACCAAAGGTAATGTTTCAACTTATTTCTCCATCATAACTCCATCGATTTTTCCAAACTTAACATTTTTGTGAAGCTAAATATGCCAGGGCTTAGAGCAGTATTTGCTTTTCTCTGCAAATTGAATACTTTTTGTTAAATCGGCGATAAATTGTACCGTTTTTGTTGACATTTGCGAACGATGTTGATGTAAACATTGTTTACCTGTAAATCGGGTTCAAGAAGCATTTGTTGTATCAAAATCCGTATTCAATATACAATATAGACATACTTTTACTTATATTTGAGTGGTCATCCATCAACTCGGGCTGCTTTCATCAAAATTTGCGAAGAACAGTCTTTCCTTGTGTACAGAGTCTAGCAAGAAAAACAAATTTAAGTGAACGAGATGTAGAAGTTTAATGTACAGGGTTTAGTAGAATGTATAGCAGTCACATATTTTTTTATTTTTATAGTCTTTATGAGTCTTCATACAAAATAATCGATAATTTCGGTACCCCATATGAGGCCTCATAAGTAAGGGTTATTCTATGTTTAGAACATGATGGAATTTCCATGATTTGTGTGACGAGCCGAATATTGATGGGTAAAATTCAAATTTTGGTGAGTGAGCTTAATAAAAAATAATGTTTAAGCATCTATGATTTTTGTACGGGTAGGACTGCTCGCATGCCAGTATTGTCTTTTTTTTTCTTTCAAAATCATGTTTAGTCACTGTTTTTTTTAGCATCATATATTAATTATTTCCAGTACAGAGTTCATAATTTTTAACCTAGAGACCAACAAATTTGACACAGTTTTGAGCTAGGTTCTTCTCCTAACTAACAAACTAGTTTGTTTATTTCTGATTGTATTGACACTTACATCTGAGGCTCGACAAGGAGGGTATCAAAATTACCTAAATTGTCAACACTACAGTACCATGTGTCCGGACAGCTATGTTCATGATATGATTTAATTCAGATAAAAGCTTGGGTGTTTTGATTTTTGATTTGTAACATGATATACAGTATGTCAGCAACAAATGCTGAACTTTTGGATATTCTATTATTCACTCTGCGAATGATTATAGCTGGTATATGAGGTCAGGCATTGCTTTCTTTACCCCCGAATTTCAACGTCAACATTCTTGAAATATAAATTAAAATATTACCATTTACGGAGGTTGAAATACATTTATTTACTTAATTTTTAAAGAAACATGCACTTATTGTTGATAAAAAGTGACTGACAACCACCGAACAAAGAAAATACTAAATTAAGCATTTTCGGGGCCGTCCGGATTTAGTGGTTGTCCGGTTTTTGTGGTCCCCAACCAGTACTATTATCAATATCAATACTATAACGAGACTCACGCACATCTTTTTACCTTTATTGAGACTAATTGGGAAGGGCCAACCCTCTAATGTTGTTAAAACTTGTGGCCCGACCCTTTTGCTTTATAATTAAAAACTGCATCATAGATCTACATGTAAATTCTTGAAAATAACTTTGTATTGCATGTGAAATTGTATCTATTTTGTACATAAAGAAAAGCAATAAAATATGATTAAACTAAATTTAAATGTTGCAAAGAATGCTAAAAACCAAAAGCTTCTGATGCAGAGGTGCAAAAATAATCAATTTTCCTCACAATTCTTATGCAATTCAAATGTTATCTTTTCACAATTGACCATGACAGCTCAGTCTGTTTTTGTAGCTCAGTTAGGCGCCTTTAAAAAGATAGGATTGAAAACGTATTTATAGATGCTGTGCCTTCTAATATAATAAACATTCAGGGTCATTTTTCAATGTTAGATTATGAACCGGTGTCATTTTTAAACGTTAAATTATGAACCGGGGTCATTTCTCAACACCTTCAACAGGTGGTTCAAAATTCAACAAGTGGTTCAAAAATTCAACGTTGAGAATTGACCACGTGACCGTTGAAAATTGACCCCAGGGTCATTTCTCAACAGGGTCAAAATTTAATGTTACACCGGCCGTCTGTCCATTGGAGGATTTCCGGATTTCTGTTGTTTCATTGGTGGATTTCAAACATCGAACCTTACAAAAGTCGGAATCCAACCAATGTTGTCACTATGCATCCCAATGTATACGGTTTATAACATTTAAATAGAAACCAACATAAATAACAGTCAGCCCACAATGAATTGGTCAGAAAACGTTCCTGACATGCCTTCTTCGCAAGTATGCGAACTCTACAATTATAGGTAATATTTTTAAATTTTTTAGTTATATTAAATATTAGATAGACCTGTTATAAAAGACGGTAACTTCTATAAACGTCTTGGCCAATTTTAAAATAAGTGCTTTTTAATAATTTAATTTTAGAATTCTTAATCTTAGTATGGGATTGCCCCATCTTCCTCCCATGGCAGAGGTTGTACGTAGAGACTACCCTGTCATGGGGGATATGGTATGCACATAAACACATGTACGGATGTAACAATAAGTAATTAAACATCAGCTCCCCCTTTTTAAAAAAGGTTATAAATGAAGTATATGCTCGCCCATATGGTCTCTTTCCGGTGGCGAGGGTAAACAAACACACACACACACAATGTTGTCACTTCGGTCTTGACCTCCAAGTAATGTACAGTATAGTAACGTAAAGTGCCTTAAAGTCGTCATGATCCCATTGTCGTCAGTTTTGTGTTCTCGTTTTCTCTCGCTCGCGTTATCTGAAAGTACCAAAGGCGGCTTATTTTGAAAGGTGAATATATTTTGTATTTCATTGATCTGTTCTACGTTGTATATGCAAATAACCACTCCTAAAATACGACGAGAAAAAGCATATTTGTGTTTGATAGAGAAAGGAAGAGCAGTCTACGATCCAATGTCTTCAGCAGCCACAATGGGCGAATTAAAATTGTAAACAAGTGGCCATTTGTAAACAGTGGGAAGTAACTCTGCCCTTTGTATTTGTAGCTTAGCAAACATTACCTAGGCTATTTAAAGTAACCTTTAAATTTAATGATGACTTTAAGTACCAGTTGACGAGATTTGGGCATATATATATATACATGTATATGTTTAAGATCATAATGATATTTTGTATAATTTGTAACGTATAAAAATATAAATGTGAATTAATAAAAATCAAACTAATACTTTTAATATATTATGCTAACCATTGCTAATATCATGGAGCGGTATGGCTGAATTACAATTGTAATCACACGATTGTTAGATAAGGCGCGAGCTAGTTTGAAGTCAGTCCTACCAGTCCGCATAGCTCAATCGGTTAGATCGCGAGACTTGTAATCTCGACATAGTGGGTGCGATTCCCAGGCTGGCCAACTTAAATTACTGATGAGATTTCAAATTGAGTTCCCGTTTATGAGTGCTTAAACACTTGGCACATTGAAGAACCAGGGGAAGCTTCTGGAATAGGGGCATCTTTCTGTATCTGACTTGCGCTATCCTCCAAAATATAAAATGACTAATACTCTTCTGGAGGACTCGCCCATATGGGCAACCGGTGGCGAGTATAAATAAACTCAAATACACACAGAAGTCAGTCAGCTGTTGTCATTTATTCAAAAAACATTGCATGGTACTGAATGGTGATTGGCCCCGACAAAATTAAACTTAACTAGTAAAAGCAGGACTTATCCCAAATGATTTTGTGTGAATTTGTTAATGTGCTGGTTGCGCCACCACCACCTTCTTCGTCTAAAGGTAAAAAGAAGAAGCCAGGGAAGGCAAGAGTCTTGACAAGTACATATGTACAGCAAGAAACTGAAGCAAAGGAAAAGAAGAAACAACAGGATATAAAATTAAAGGAAGAAAGAAAACAGCCATGATTAACCAAGAAGATAATAAAGGAATTATTTAGAAAGAAAGAGAAAATGAAGCAGAAAAAAGAACTGAGCTGAGAGAAAAACAAAGAGAAGGAAACTTTTCCAAATGGAAAAAAGACAACTAAAGTTACGTAGGAAAGTTGAAGCCCCGCACTTATAGACACACAAGACACAATATCAAAAACATTATTACTGATTTTCTTTTCTCTTCAGGTATAATGAAGAAATTTGTCCTAAGAAACGTTTAAGTAGTTGGAATGCATCATTACAGTCGCCGGGAGTTAGATCGACTGGGGTCATACAAAGTGGAAATCGAGGCTAACAACGCATATGATCCAACTGCCGTGGCAGTATATGATGGCCAACGTAACGTCGGGAGTCGGAAGCGAGACGGCCGGAAGGTATGGAACAGAATTAATGCATTTATTCTATCAGAATCTTGCTTGATGACATTGGAACTTGCATTATGCTTAATTCAATCTTGCTTGATGACATTGGAATTTGCATTATGCTTGATTCCATCTTGCTTGATGACATTGGAACTTGCATTATGCTCAATTCTCTCTTGCTACATGACATTAGAACTCTCATTATGCTTGATTCCATCTTGCTTTATGATATTTAAACTTTGCATTATGCTGGATTCCATTTTTCCTTATTTCATTCAAATATTTCGTAGTCACCAATTCTTTCATTGAGTGATAACTATTAAACTGGAACAAGCCATTTGGAATACCAAGATGTTAACATCATATACCTTTATGCATAAACAACCTTTCTTCATGCTCTATACAAACCATTTACGGTTTAGTTTTTTTGTATTACTTTTATGTATAAGTCATTTAAAATTGACTATTTTTTGTTCCCTAATGTGACTTATTTGATTTAAAGCTCGCATGGCGTTATTACTATTAGCTTTCGCTTATATCCATTATTCAGTGTAAATGCTTAATAAAGCTCGGTGTCTGAGGCTTTGTGGAGTATGTTTGATCATCTTACTATGGATTGCCGGTAGGGACATGCCACTATGCTTATTTGCCAACTACTTAATTGCTTATTTGCTAATTGCTGATTTGCCAATTTGCTGATTTGCCATTTGCTAATTGCTTATTTGCTTATATACATAAATTTTTCAGGCGACACGTCCGAATCGCGAAGTTCTTGCTTAATACAAAATAACAAGTCTTTGTAGACTTTATTTCAAGCTCATGAACCTATATCATGTTATTATGTTTATAAAGTTTTTGTTAATTATAACTTGTGACAATTATGATCAATCCATCATTACCTAGGATATAGGTAGAAAGACAGATGGATACATTTTAATCAATATAGAAAAAAATAAATTCAGTTTCAGAAAGTAGTTGTTTTTTTAATTATCTTGAGTTTCAGTTTTAGCACCACTATTCGGGATGCTATTCTACCCACCAATGCATTGGTTTTCTTGGTAACTTGTTTTTCTGTCATATCTCTGTTACTTTTGCTGATTCATGCATCTTACTGCAACTTTGCATAAACTTTGAATTACAAGCATGCATACAAAGTACATGTACATGAAGAAGCTGTGCCCGTTATATACTGAGGGTTAAGGTCACCAATGTATTGTACTGAGAAGCCTTTGTTTTTCTGTCATATCTCTGTTACTATTGCTTATATCTAACTGTAACTTCACATAAGCATTAAATAGGCAGCATGAATACACAATATTCAAAAAGGCTTTGTCCATAATGCCCTAGGTCATGATCATGGTCATGGTCACCTGATAGCATGTAAAATGTACAACATGAAAAAATGGAAAAGTGTGACCAAATTTCAAAAACATTGAACCAAAGCAAAATGTTGATGCACACACAGACATAAATGATCTCAAAATCTTACAGAGCTAAAAACGCAGCCTATTGCTTAAGTGCAAAGACAAACAACCGTGTTAAGCATGCACCAAATGTATCATTCGTGATACTATGTGTTCCTACCACTAAAATGAGACCCTCTGTGACAAATCTGCTGAGAATAACGACATTTTATATGCCATGAAATAAGAAATAGTCTTGTTTTCAAGTTCTTTTATTTTCAATCTTTACCCAAGTGTTTAACTTTATTATGCCATCAATCTCTGACTTAACCTGCACAAACAGATCTATAGCTGCAACACATTATAAGGCATTCTCAAGCACAGATGCTGGCGGGTCAGATCCTGCCCCTAACGTGATACGCGTCTGTTAACACTATATCAAAACTATTTTAATATTTATTTAAATACGAATTGGACATTTGTTACAACGATAAAACCATTAAGTACTTTATTGAGACTTGGTGGTATATGGTATTTTTTATACCGGCATATGTAAAAATTGCTTGAAAACCAGTTTTAACGATGTCCAATTCGTGTTTAAATATTAAAATATTTTAAAAAGGGTGTTTACAGGGGCACGTATCACGTTGGGGTACGGGACCTGACCCCAAGCGTCTGTGTTCTCAAGGAAATGTCAGCCATCAGTTGTAGACATATATTTGCGTAGGCATCACTGCAACTAAATTCATTGATCAACAGTAGTCTTGGAAAAAATACTGAATTTACAAGAATACTGTTAGTAAAAGTAAACAGATCTGACTCAACTGGTTGTCTGTAGTCAGATTTTCCATATATTTCCGGCACATTGTAAAGTATTTCTATTGCAAAAAAGCAAATTAGCAATTGGCAAATAAGCAAATACGTAATCCAGCGGTTAACAAATTTATAAGCAAATTTGGCAAATAAGCAAATTTGTCGTTAAGACTATCAGCCATTGGCAAATAAGCAAATCGGCAATTAGCAAATAAGCAATTCAGCAATTGGCAATTAAGCAAATTAGCATGTCCCTACCGGCATTCCATATCTTACATTATGATAAACAATTAAAACTATGTCTAACGACTTGTTAACTGTTAAGGGGCAAGAACTCTGTTATGGATGTCAACGGATTTTTTTCCACGATTCGCCTATCATAGGAATTTTCCTTATAGATACTGCGTACATGTATTATATAAATACTTACTAAGCGCTTAACACATACATTGCATTTGAAAGAATATAAATACAAGTAGTAAAGGATTATGCAATATAATTATATATGTATTCAGTCTGATAGAAAAAAAATATGCTCGTAAAAGTGATGCAATGGGACAGTTACACGTACAGTCAGTGGTGGATTCAGGCCCTGGCTTAAGGGCTGCACCTACCCTACCCCCAAATATACGTTCGTGATCTTGGATGGAATATATACGTGTCAGTTTCATGCAAAAGTCTTCTTAGTTTACTCCCTTACCAAAACATATTATGTTGTCATCCAGTTGTTAAGCACCTGCCTAGGTACTGCGAAGGTCTTATCTAATGACTTGGACATTAAAAAGCAAAAATGATTGGCCTTTGGCAGCACACCACACTAAATGAAGCCACAGCTTCGAATGGCCAGGGAGGATTTCATGGATATAGTGACTATTGTGGATTTAAATGACTGGTTGTCTTTAAAATGCATTTTCAGCATGAAATTTGTTTTTGTAACATGTAATATGATCATTGGCAAATTCGAAAACATGGTTAGAAATAACATGCTGTTAATTATAGATGTCAAGGCCGCCATTGTTTGTAAACATTGCTTTTAAACAGCATGCTGGGTGAAAACAAGTGATTTTACAGGGGGGTACAAACTTTCAGCAATAGCAAAAAATCTACAAGGCCAAGCACCTATTTCTTTGTGATAGTTTGCATGCAGATGGAGTTGCTAAAGCAGTGACAGAGTTTCTGTAGTCCGTATATTTGCAGGTATTTTTTGCCGGAGGGACGAAAAATGTTGTTTTGGGTCTTGGACCACTATAGATTTTTGGCTTTTACGGAATGAATTGGAATTTTTTTAACTGCCTGACTGTTGCACATGGGATGATTTCATTACAGATTTGCAATGTTTTGACATATATGTTCGTAACAAAATGTGTTTTCTTTTTCCAGGTTGTGTAGTTTGGGATCAGATTTATTAGACATATTGCTTGTAGGACATTGACGGCAGAAACTTGAAATTTAGTGTGGAGTGCTACCTTTAACTTAATAAATGTCCCCGAGCCACTAATAGTGGCGAATAGGTATGTAACACATTAAAATATACATGTATAATAAGGAAAGAAGGAATATGTTAATTTTGTAACATGTGCATAGTCAATAACAAATGAGCCGCGTCATGTCAAAACCAACATAATGGGTTTGCGACCATGGATTCAGACCAGCCTGCGCGTCCACGCAACCAGTTTCTCTACTTGTAAAAGAGTTGGAAAGCGAACAGCATGGATCCTGATCAGACTGTGCAGACGCGCAGGCTGGTCTGGATCCATGTTAGTCGCAAACCAATTATGTAGGTTTTGTTGTGACGCGGCTCAAATGTTGGGCATATGTGTGTCTGATTAAAGATCAGACATCCTGCACATACAACCACATACAACCACATTCCCATACATTTGTGCTTAATGATATACTATGCACATCTTTCAGTAACATATTTTTATCACAAAAATTTATTGAAATCTATAAAATTGTTACTAAATATGTTTTATTTGAATAAAAATACATACACATAATGTATAGGAATCTACTTTCCTTATTACAGGTCAAGTAAAGTTGTGTCTGTCTTTAAAAGAAACTTCCATATATTTTTTTTTGTAATGTACAAATGTATATTCATACTGCCCACTTACAGTGTAAATGATTTAAAGCACAATATTTGTGTGAAGCCAAATTATATTTATTTTATTTCAAAGAAAAAAAATCAAGTTTTTTCTGTACTAAGTCGTTTAAGTCGTGGGAACGAGATAACTAAGTCGTGTTGACGAAATAATTAAATCAGATTACACCATGATTTTCTTAACTTAGAAAATTTCTGTTTAAAGAATTACGTGCAACATTAATTTTTTGAAAATACTGAAGTGTTCACTTTGAACTTGTTAACCTCTCCATGCCGCATGAAACATCTTCTAGTGAGGGTCTATAAAGTTTGTTCAAATAAAAGCCCGGGGGTCAAAATTGGCCCCGCCCAGGGGTCATTGATTTTATTTATGTGTATAGCAAAAACTTAAAAAATCTTCTTTAAAAAAACCTTAATAATTAGAGTTTAGATATTAAGCATGAAACATCTTTCAGTGAGTTTCTACAAAGTTTGTTCAAATAAAAGCCTTTGGGGCAAAATTGGCCCTGCCCCTGGGGACATTGATTTTCCTTATATGTGTATAGCAAAAACTTAAAAATCTTCTTCGAAAAATCCCAAATAGCTAGAGTTAAAATATTTAAGCATGATAAAACTAGATATTTTAATAAACTAGAATTTTACAGAAATAACATATAAAGGTAAGTTTGTTTTAAGAATTTATTAAATAAACATTACTGGACACACATATATGTACCTTATGAAAAACCATACATGTGAACTCTCCAATTTTTAGCGGGAGATTTCCACTAAATCTGCAGCCATATTTTCAAAGATGTTTCTTAAAGATAAGGTGTTATTTTACAAATTAAAGAAATCTCCCTATTGCTGGTGTCAGAACTCCCTTCTTTGTTCATTGCAAATTCTAAAAGCTCCCTTTTTTGGAGGACCCCCCCCCCCCCCCAGCCCACTTGATCATCAAAAAAAGTTCACATGTACTGTCCTACGATGATAACTTGAGCCTTTGTTTACATAACAAAGACCAATAACAATGCAAAAAATAGGTGAGGCAGATCAATGTTACAACCTATAAAAATGAAATTAAAACTACATAGTATTTATGTCATATGAATTGTTAGCGCAGTAGATAGAGCAACCGTGACAGCAGTGTGTTTTACCCGTAAAGGCAGAAGTTCGACTATTGGTAACATGGTACATACTTTTTGTTTACTTCAGAACAGTCAATTGTTCAGAAAACAAATTTGACCGGTTTTTTCATATACATACATGAATATGATATGGAATATTTTATTACACTGCGATCAAAACAATACAAAAAGAAAATAGAATGGAAATAAAAAAATATATATAATTATATACTATAAAATATATATTATAAGAAGAAAGTAAAATGGAAAACGAAAAATAATTGAAGAATAATGATGAAAAAACAGAGTAAGAAGAAAAAAATGTGGTTATAAAATGACACTAAGTGGGATTCGAACCTATGAGTACAAAACACTAATAGTTACAATTACCCCGACCTACCGACAGAGCCATAACGGTAATACACAAACGATTCTGTAAGAATAACGCTATATAGGATATGTAAGTGTTTACTTTTACGATATGGGATAATAGACCTTTCTATCTGAAATGGACTTCGTAAACGGACTTCGTAATATGGAATAATTTGGGGATTTTCTCAAAAGAATAATGCGAGGAAAATAAAGTAATCAGTACGCTAAACATTTATTACAGCGGTTATTGTACATGTATATGCTTTTTATAATATTTCTATCAACACATTAAAGAAGAAGAGAATATAATCATAATTTATATAAAAAAAAAAAAAAAAAAAAAATACAAGTTTCCTAATTCATGTATTCTTTGTTGTAGTGCTAATTTTTCAACCAATGACCAACATGCCATTACGTTTTGAGTGCTGTGAAAGCAAGACTAATGGTAAATGTCATTACTGCTGTCCCTGCTGACGCCAAGTTGGGGGGGGATCTCCTGTAGAGAGCGTGATTGTCTCTTATTTGTTCACAATCCCTGCGATGAGCCGGTCGATTACATTGACCTGCTGCAACATTTGTTACACCCGGCACTCGTCGTATGTATATTTGTATAAATATCACTGTTACTAAAGTATGTATAAAATGTAGAAAAGCTTCAGTGTGAAATTGCGCAAAATTATCAAGCGTTAGAATTACATATGTTATACCGACTAACATTAAACCCTAGGTCCTCAAAAGTTGCCGATTTTCTTACAGTTATACCTTTGAGTGGGAAAACCTGTCTATTATACGTGTGTCGTCAATTTTTTTTTGTTATGTTAAACAACTGTGTTTCTTTTCGCTGCAACACTATACTGTTTGCATCGTATTTAGATTTTTAGAATGAACGCTTGTAGGCGAAGGCTAACTTTTAGCACTTCCTAATTTAGTTCAATCCCCGCCAGATGCTCCAGAATATATCAACCGTACATGGTTATGTTTAGTTGCCGTAATAATGCCACCTCTAGACTCTGTACTAGATATTCGCAACCGTTTATTTTCAAATGATTCCGAAAGAAACTTTTTTTCCAAATTTTCTCAGAAAATGTGTACAATTTCTTTGAAATATAACTGGTAAAAGATAAGAAACATTAATATCAACATTACTTAAAGATATACTATGCTCAAATTTGATATTAGAAAATATTGATTGTTAATTGTTTGTAAATATAAAAAAACATGTTTTGACTTTACACAAAGTATATATGTTATCTTTAAAACTCTACACACCATAGGAGGCCACACTATGAATATATAGTGTCATTAGAAAAACTGGTGTTTTTTTTTTTAAGAAAAGACCAATTTTACTTGATCTTTAATAGAGAACGCAGTTTAGTTTATACATAGTTTATTCATTCTTTTATTCAAATTAGACATATTCAGTAAGAATTATGAAGATTTCAATAAATTTATGTGATAAAAATAATTTACTTAAGGATGAGCATAATATATCTAAAAACTTACAATTACAGTGGTCAGTAAATATAATCTTATCGATTGTGATATGGATAAGATGTTACATGTACCCATCCCTGAATGGTAACACTTTCCACAATGTTCAATGTGTGCACTGCTTATGTGCATATTGAAATTCGCACATTTATACTACATTTTACACAACATTTGCGAATAACATCACTTGACCAACCATAGATTAGTGGCCACTGGGAAAGACTGTATCCTGCAGTTGGTGCAAAAGATGGAACATCACACAAATTAGTTCGACCAATGGATAAGCCACAGAACAATTCTATTCTGGATACTGTGACTTCCACGCTATGAAAACACATTCAGATGGCAATGTTTGTATAATTCTAACGCTCAAGATATCGTGCAATTCCCACTGAAATGTTACTACATATTATACAAATGAACTTGGCGTCAACAGTGACAGTAGTGATGTCCTGCTTTCACGCCATGTACCAACACTTACTAGTATATCTTGAAAAAATCGCTTCTTTGTCATTGGTTGAAAAATTTACACTACAATAGAGTATATGAATGAAGTAACTTGTATTGTGTTTTTTTGTTTTTGTTTTTTTTTTTGTTCGTTTGTTGTTTGTTTGTTTTTATTTGGTCTTTATATAAATAATGTTAATACATGTATTGTCTCCATCTTTAATGTGTTGATGGTTTATAGAAATACTATAACTAGCACATGTATGTAAGAAAACCCGCTGTATTACAGTTTTAGCATATTCATATTTTTATTATTTACGTTTTGAAAAATTATTTACGTTTTGAGAAAATCCCCAACTTTATTCCGTATCACGAAGTCCGTTTACGAAATCCGTTTAAGATAGAAAGGTCTATTTAATAATCAAGATAACCCCGTTTTTCAACTTTCCCATGTACGTTAAGACCAAATTATCATCTTAGGACAGTATGATGAAAAACTAGATAAAATTTGATTATGTTTTTAATTACTTTGAAACTATTGTTAGATTGTAATTATAACTTGTTTAATGTTTATCCTCATGCAAGTAATAATTATTTTTATAGACAGTGACAATTGTGTTCATACTAAAAATTCTGCTTTTTTCATGCCATCATAATGAATTGATGATGGAAGTCATTCTTGTTTTTAGTCCCCTACCGGTTTACCGGAGGGGACTTTAGGTTTACCCTCCGTCCGTCTGTCCGTCTGTCCGTCCGTCAGTCTGTTCGTCCACAAAACTGGATCCCGCAATAGCGCAAAAAGTACTGAAAATAGTTTAATGAAACTTGATATATGGATAGATGGCAGTATGGAGATTATGCACGTCTTTTTCTTTTCTTCCTATGTTGAAAATTCTGGTTGCTATGGCAACAAATAGACTGAAAATATGGCTAATTTTACACATAACCTGGATCCCGCGATACCGCAAAAAGTACTGAAAATATTTTTATGAAACTTGATATATGGATAGATGGCAGTATGGAGATTATGCACGTCTTTTTCTTTTTTTCCTATGTTGAAAATTATGGTTGCTATGGCAACAAATAAACTGAAAATATGGCAAATTTAACACATAACCTGGATCGAGTGATAATGCAAAAATTACTGAAAATATTTTTATGAAACTTGACATATTGGTAGATGGCAGTATGGAAATTATGCACATTCTTTTCTTATCTTCCTGTATTGAAAATTCTGGTTGTTATGGCAACAAATAGACTGAATTTCAAGATTTCTGTTTCTAGTTTTTCAGTTTTTTCACTATAAGTTCTTTATTCCTTAAGGTATTTTCTTCAAACTTTAAATATAAGTTGCTAGTCATCAACCACATCATATGTGACAAAGTTTACAACTCTAGCACAAAATTTATCAGAACTACCTCCCTGGAACTTAAAATTTTCATGAAAAAACATTGTTTTTTTTAATAACTTCTTTTTTCTGAACGTATCTACTTCAAACTTCATATAAATGTTTCTTATTATCACTCAACATTTGTGAGTGTTCAATACTCTAGCAAGACTATTTCCAGAATTATGCCCCTTTTGAACTTGACTTTTTTTTGAGAAATTGGTAATTTTTTTCAATTATGATAGGATTTTCTTCAAACTCCCACATCATAATAATATGACATAATATGACAAGGTTTATAAATCTATTATCCATATTTCCAGAATTATCTCCTCTTTAAACTTTTTATTTTTCTTATTCGTTCTTCTAACTTTCATTTACTTCAAATTCAAAATAAACATTCAATATTCATACCTTCATTACTAATTGTTCTTTGTTACACTCACATCATGTATGACATGGTTATCTCCTTTTTTAAAAATTTTGCTTTAAAAATGTTTTATTTTGATAACAGGGATGTTTAAAAAATAACTTAAGAGTGTCCTTCAGTCTGTCTGTCTGTCTGTACATAAAAACTGTTCACTGTGATCACTTAAAATAGAAACATAAGTGAATGGCCAATGGCCCTTCAGAATGTTGCTTGGGCTCTTACCGGTAGGGGACTTATGGATTGCTTGCAATACTATGATAATTGCTTGTTTTAACATAAGTCTTATGGTCTTGTAAAAAAGTTAATTTATTATTTTTAGGATGAGAGAATGTTTTCCAAAGATGAGGAAGAGAAGTTGCAAGGCACGCTTGGTACCGTATAAGTACTTTTACTGCAGGAACTTTATTTCTGCTATTTCTGCGGTTTAAAACGACACTGCAGATTTAAACACCGCAGAAAATTAAGCCTTTCACTATGTCTACATGTATGTCGGAATATGTCAACTACCTGTATTGTATAATAACATTACCATATCAGCTTTTGTAGATGGGAATTTGTCTTTATGTATATGACTATCCGTCATGAAATAAAATATTAGAAAAAAAGTTCATTACTTGTTCTTTTTGTTTCGATCATCCGAAGCTTGGATTATTTTAAAATAAAACTATTATAATAGTTTGACGGTGCAATAAACATAACCTTTTGTATTTGTTCAATATATTGTGTCTACGTGCGATTTTACCATTGTTTATTTTTCACACTTGATATTTATACACATGCAGTATTTCAATTAATTGTTGTCATTGCATGTTGTTATAAATTATACCCGGGTTTCGAGCCTCTGCGGCAGACAACCCGGTACGTGGACTGCTGGGAAAAGGCCACAGGCAAGTTGACTGATGACATCACAAGCACCTGCTACCAGAATTTAGCAGATTTGCCGGTTGGCAAGAAGAACCAATATTTATATGCATTATATAGCACTAGAATATTTAAATTCTAATAACTTTTTTATTTGTGGATCGATTTTTTAGATTCTTATATCATTTGAAATTTTTTTACATTCATATTTTTGAAATGTAAGCGGATTTTCATTTTTTGCTTTTAGAAAAGAATGCTCAGCTATTTTTTAACTGTTATTTCAATAGTTTTCTAGCACCAAGTTTAACTCTTTACCAAGAAAAAATGAAAGCGTTTTGTAAATTTATTTTTTAATTTTTTTAAATATGAGTAAAATGACCTTTCTAATGATATAAAATACTAAGCTGTTTCATAAAAAATAGGTTTGTTATTGTAAATATAAAATTACTATATCTTATCAGCAATTTGTTACTATTAATAGATTTCATAACAATAACATGCAACTTGCCTATACACTAAATAGGTTTAAAGGCCCAGTCCTCCCCTTTGGTGCTGCAACGCAGGACCTGGCGGAGGACTGTGGTATTAAGGATTCAAACATTGTTGAGAAGCGGCCCATGGAGGTTCTGCCGTGGACCCTGACCTTGCCTGAGGTCGACATCACGTTACAAGAAAAAGTGAACAAATCTGACCCTATACAGTATATCAAATATGTGGTAAATAGTTAATTTAACAATAAACAAGAAAAATTACACCAACTTAAACTCTCCCAAAAGATAAAGTTCTTCATTTAAAAATGCCACATCACTATAATAATTAAGAGCAATCTTTTAGTGAGATAATAAAGAAAATTAAATCAAAATTCATTGAAAATCAATGAAGATATGGCCATTTACCTATGACATGTAAACTTAATATTTAAATTACTAAATTTCAAATAATACACTGAACAAAAGTTCTAACCGATCACCCTGAGTTTTCGCTTATATATGAAAAAAGAATAATACCAATAGATCCTACTTTTATTTTATTTCGAAAAGAATGAACATATTGAGAATAATAAAATTATAACATTTTCTATTAAAATAATACTTTATCGATATTTAATTTTTTTATGAACAGCCACTCACCTGTCTGATAGAGGCTCCAGCATTCAACATTCCATAAAAAACTTTTTGTAAAGTGAACTTTAAGGCAAAACTGCACAGTTTAGAAGTATTTTCTTAGGGGGAAGCTGTCTTAAAAGGCATCTCTTATAGAGGAAAAAGCTCTGAGTATGTAGAGTTTGATTCATAGTGGGTATAATGGTCCAGTGGTTACACTGAGTATGTAGAGTTTGATTCATAGTGGGTATAATGGTCCAGTGGTTACACTGAGTATGTAGAGTTTGATTCATAGTGGGTATAATGGTCCAGTGGTTACACTCTGAGTATGTAGAGTTTGATTCATAGGGGGTATAATGGTCCAGTGGTTACACTCTGAGTATGTAGAGTTTGATTCATAGTGGGTATAATGGTCCAGTGGTTACACTGAGTATGTAGAGTTTGATTCATAGTGGGTATAATGGTCCAGTGGTTACACTGAGTATGTAGAGTTTGATTCATAGTGGGTATAATGGTCCAGTGGTTACACTGAGTATGTAGAGTTTGATTCATAGTGGGTATAATGGTCCAGTGGTTACACTGAGTATGTAGAGTTTGATTCATAGTGGGTATAATGGTCCAGTGGTTACACTGAGTATGTAGAGTTTGATTCATAGGGGGTATAATGGTCCAGTGGTTACACTGAGTATGTAGAGTTTGATTCATAGTGGGTATAATGGTCCAGTGGTTACACTGAGTATGTAGAGTTTGATTCATAGTGGGTATAATGGTCCAGTGGTTACACTCTGACTACAAATTCCCAAGTCATTAGTTTTAGCCCTGGTTTTCCAACTTCATGTATAATTATATATACATAAGTGTTTTGGATGAGATTTTATACACCACTGTGTGATGGTGCTTTATGACTTGCATGTAAAAACAGATTTAGATTTAGTCAGTGACTTTACTAGGTTGACCAAACAGTAAGTAGTTTCAGGCTCAATGCTTGTGACTCACATGGCAGGCTATAAATGTGGCTTACAACATCCATACAAGGGCATGATATCTTAGATAGGATTACCGTACTAAACTGTTTAAGAAAAGCCTTGCAACCCAGTCAACTAATTATTAACAAATAGTCGAAGGGAAGTAACTCCAAAATGTACTAAGAATACGAATCGTTATAAGCTGAACCCTATTTTAATAATAATCAAGAGCGTTAGCATTAGTTTGTAATATAAAAATATTCTTTTTATACGAAACAGGTTGATACCATTGTTGAATCATGGACCACGAACGGACGGGAAGTTATAAATACAGAATCTAAGACAAAGGACTCTATAAATTGCCAAATCAAGCAAGTCTTTCTAATAGTTTTGACCTCATTATTGTCATAAAATCATTTATCACACACCCGTGCCGATTTTGCGACTCCGTAAATATGGTATTGCACGGCCATGCATATATTTTGACGTGATGTCATAACAAGCGTGATAAAAACATAGTGTAAAGAGCGCTAAATGTTAGCGTTAAACTATAGGCGCGACAATGAAATATGACTCTTATTTCACTTTAAACGGTCTTTATCTTGGGCATGTGATAAATAGAATATTAAATTCATGTAAGTTCCATACTGAATTTATTGCACTCGTTGAATAAAATAATATTATGCTCACCAGAGGCTCGCATTATATAATTTTATTCAACTCCTGCAATAAATTTAGTATGGAACTTACACTCATTCAATATCCTCTATATAGTAAGACTAATTTAAATTAACAGTTTGATATAATAAAGATATCATTAAATATCAAAGTTTTTTAAGAATATGAAACTTTTATTTTGAATACAATGTATAACAAGATTTTTACATGTCTTTGGTATCATCAATTTCTAAATTAATCAATGATATTTTATTTGTAAAACCAATTATATTTTGAGAATTTAATTCTAAAATCTTAAGAAATTTTCAACCGAGTATTAAATTTAAAAGGAAGAATAAACTTTTGCTATGGGATAAAAGTTATCTATTTATAAAAGGGATTTTCATAAAGGGACTGCATTTTTGTTCAATTTCAAGTTTTAAATTGATTGCATCTAACAATTTATAAATTTTGCTTTCAATTACAGTTAACAGATATAAATTGGAGATTAAATTTACAAATGGCCCAATCAATAAATTACCAAATGCTATGTTTGAACTTGGTGTCCATCGTGAAGGGCAGGAAGATAAAGAAAAGATACGAATGGAGTTCACTCATGATGAATTATATAGAGGATATTGAATGAGTGTAAGTTCAATACTAAATTTATTGCACAAGTTGAATAAAACTATATTTTGCGAGCCTCTGGCGGGCAAAATATTATTTTATTGAACGAGTGCAATAAATTCATTAATGAACTTACACGAATTTAATATTTTATTTGTCACATACCAAAAATAAAGACCGTTTATAGTGAAATAAGAGTTATTTTTCATTGACGCGCCTATAGTATAACGCTTACATTTAGCGCGTCTTTACACTATGTTTGTTTAACACTAATGATGTCACGTCAAAATATATGCACGGCTGGCATTACAAAATTTACGGAGTCGCAAAATCGGCACGGGTGTGTGATAAATCAATTTTACAACCAGGCACTATTTAAAAGAATGAGTTAATCTGTATTTATATCAAAGTGTAAAATTTAAGATAAAATTGTTACAGGTTTGGTCAGATTTTTTTTTCTGTTGCCAAAACAAGAAACCTTATCAGTTACTGGCAGTCAGTTCCTTTGAAACTTGTAGTAACAAACCAGCCCTTGAAAAGTTAATAAAATGTAAGTAATATCCTGATATTGTTAAAAGGCTTCTTTGTATGAGTAGTTATGGTCATGTCACTTGTAATCACTTGCCTCTCACCACAGTGGGTTTAAATATCAATAGGTACTTTGATTCTTTTATGTAAGACAGCTCGGCATCTAGTAGGTCTGTGGATCTACTGATGTGCCGGAAATAATTCATTGATGGGCTTCTGAAGCCTTCTTTTTCACCAGTAAAGCTGCTGTCACCTTATATACTTTACAGTTCTGCTGTGATGGAAAACTTAAAGAGACTTTAAAAAAGAAAAAAATTTAGTGTTAACATGGGTATCTATTTTTCATTTCAGTTGGAAACTATTCAGAAACAGATTGATGGTTTAAGCTGAAAGTTTAAACAAAGATTAGAGGTAGTCCAGCCAAAGTGTTTTTTCAGTTCAATGTCTTGTTTGAAATAAATGTGGAACAATGTCATACAATGCATTCCAGACATTCCATTTAACTTTTGCAGAAGTAAAAAATATAATGTTTTGGTGTAGTAAGCTAAAAATTTCTTGTATTAAAATACATTCAATTAATTTAATCATTTGTAGAAGTTAAATTATTTTACATGTCAGTCAGTATGCTGAAATACATGTATGATGTTTAATTTCACCGTTTTCTGCCCAAAAGTTTGTGTTACTGCTGTCAAGACATATAAGTTATTAAAATTTTGACAGGTTATTAGCTTAAGTATAGTTATATATAATATAGTAAAATAGACATTTATACACAGCTATGTAACATGTCATAATTTCCATGAGGCAACACATATATGTGATCACTGATGTATTATATACAATAAATTTTTTAACTGCCCAATTGTTTTCTTTGATAAAAGAGCTAAAAATTTGATCTTCTATTTATTAGGAGTATTTAATATTGTTTTTAATGAAATGTTTGTTGCAATTCATGAATTGTAACCAATGTCCTTTGCATATGTTGATTGCTAGTCATTTACATACATGTGATTTTATTGTGTAAACTATATGTAAAAACTGTGCAATAAATTATTTTTTATAATGCAAATTTACTATGTTTTACTTTTTAGACCTTGGTCACGGCATAAAATATTCTCATTATTTTGCATTGTGTCAACAGACATTTAAATTGAATCATACAAGTATGATTACATTTGAACACTATCATATCATGATGTTCTTTTTCATATCAACTTGACTATTTGAAAAAAAAAATTATACATAAAGCTTAGGCAAAAATTTTATGCTCTCGCCATAAAATGGCCGGGGCATATAGTGTTACCCTTTTCCGTCATTCTGTCATTCCGTCATCATCAGTTTCCGTTCATCATCTTAGTAACTGTTGCACACATTCAACTCAAATTTGACATATGAAAATACAGGTCAAGTTCGAATTTGGTCAATGATAAGATATGTCATGCATAACACCAGTGTCCCTACCAAGGTCAATGTCACATGTAAAGGACAAAGATTTACATAGTCTGTTATAGGGTATATTTTGTGTCCAGTCCATAACTTTTTCATAGATCAAGGGATTTTTAAAAAAAACTTTGCACAAATAATCACAATAACAAGATGATATGTCAGGCGCAAAACATGGGTCCCTACCTCCAAGGTCACACTAAGAGGTCAAAGATTAACATAGTCTGTAAGAGGATATATCTTGTGTCCCATCTATAACTTCTTCATAGTTCAAGGGATTTTGAAAATACTTGATACAAGTAGTTACAATAATCAGACGATATGTCATGCACAACACCTGCACCCCTACCTCTAAGGTCAAGGTCACACTTTGAGGTCAAAGCTTAACATGATAGATTTTTAAATTCAGTGTTTTATTTATTTCTTTAATAAATTTATTGTTGCATTTGCAGATATAGCATTGATCATAATTGGACTGAAAGTCCTTAGATTCATACCTCAATCTTTTGAAATAGCACAATTTTATGCTTCATATAAAACTTCCCCGACGCGGGGGACGTTGGTAACTCTGTTACAGATTCTTGTTTAGATTTATTTAATACTGCCCAAATACTTAACCCCTATTATGCAATATGCATTACTACAAACATTTGTGATACCAAAAGGAATGCAGCACAATAAAAGTTTGCATAAAGGTCGATTAATACATCAAAGTCATTGACTTGTTCTTCTTTATAAACAATCCAAATAAATCTGAAACAAGAAAACGTTTTGGTTAATATTTTAATAGTTAATAGTTCTTGTGTTTAATGTTGGTTAAACCTTTACTAAAGGAAACAAACCAAATTGTATCCTTCAAGCTTTAAGCTCTGCAAAATTCATAATCAATTTATTTTTCATATTTTTTTTTCAAATATTAAAAACAGTGTACATACACAGAAATTTAAGGTAACATATGGCTTTAAAATTCATTTAATAACTAGAAATGTGTTGTCACGCCACGGATGACCCCGCAGCCGCTGATTCTTGTTGCTGGGTTGTGTGGTTGTTGCGTTCATTGAACGCCGTCTTTTCTTGTTGATCGTGTTTATCATATTTTAGTCAATTATTATAAGTGTTGTTTTGTTTTAATCTTTTATCATAAGGCTATAATGTGACGTAATGATAAAAGTTTTGTTTTATCAATTTGAAATCATTTATTGCAATATTACTCTTCTGTGACCTTTATCAATAGTTTTAAATGGGAGTGTATAAATTGTGTCTTTGATAAAAAGAATGAAAGTAAAGCGATCTAGTTTTGTACATGCATCGCAAATATAAGATTCCAAGTACTTCTCAAAGCAAGACATAGATACAATTTCCTGTCAATGAGATTTTCTTGTGTGTAAAACAAAGTTATTAAGCAACGCAGTATGATTTTATATTAGATTCTTTTACTTTCATGAAAGAAACTTCATTTCCTTAGATTAAGCTGATGTCTTGACACTACATGACTAGTAATAAATGATGTTTTACTTTAGTTTTTACATATTATATATCAAAATAAGAGCACGAGAAAAAGCAACAGTTTTTAGTGTCTTAATATTAATGTCATGCGCATTTTTGCGAGTTTTTGTACATTTCTAGCTGGCTTACGAATATCAATGGTTCTGTTCAGTCGTGCTCGAAATAATTCACGAATAGAAGGGGCCCTTATATATATGTCTTTCTGCAATGGAAAGTCATAATATGACCTTTTCTGTTTGGGATCAACGTTAAATACAATAACAATATCAAAATGTTGTAATGTCATATCTTTATTGAATGTTATAAGGATATTGTGGTGTCACATGACTGTTTATTTTCTCATGAAAGGAATATTGTTTTTACGACTACTAGTATCAGACATTTAAATCATGTGTTAAAACTGTGACATTTCTATCCAAGTTTGTGAGATACGTGACGTTTCTAACCAAGTTTGTTAGATAAGTGACGTTTCGTCTACGTTTGTAGGACATGTACAGTGACATTTCAATCGCAATTTGATATTTTTGTGACATATTAACTAAATTTGGAAAGTTCATGACAAAACCATCACACTTTGTATAATGTAAGACATTTCCATCACATGTTCATCTTTTTTAAGAAATACTAATGTTTGTTGAATTTACATTTTTATTTTACATAAAATATTTTCATAACCATTTGTTAGATCTGTGACAATTTTATCGAATTTTAACAAAATCATTATTATCACATGGCACATAGCTTAGGTGGTTGTCATTTTAACGCCTTAGAAATACAGTGAAAGAAAATAAAATATGCTCATGCACAGACAATAAGATTGTTTTTCAAGTTTAGGTTTAGATTGAACTAAAACACTTATCGCCATTCAAAGGGTTAATTAATTATCATCAATTGTGGCATTTTCTCCAGATGACAACATAGTAGGCTTTAACCTCATCACACGGGCATTATTTAACAACTTTATGCTACTGAGTACTTATATTTAGATATTGAACATTGTTGTAATGCAACAAAGCCATATTGGATGTACATCTTAGGGTCAATACCGAAATGAAGCCAAACCAATTACTATGACATATTTTATTTAGTTTTTCGTTGTTTGATGAAACTACATATACGATTCAATGCAAGCTATTCAAAAATGATTTATAAATGCATAAGTCATCCATAAATCATATTGATAGGTTGACATGTCAGTGATTTCCTCATTCAAAACAGTTATTTGCTACAATAGGTATTGCTGAATAACATCGGAAATTAAAAAATATAATTATTATAGATATCCTAGTAATACCTTGATCAACTTGAAGTCACAATTCTTATTAGTGCTTAATAAATAAGGAAAATAAATTTAGTACAAAATTGGCAAGTCAATTTTAAAATAGATAGGGAACTATGAACAAGTGAATCATGTAGGCCTTTTCAAAACTAACAACCAGTTTGAACAGTTATATAGAATATAGAAAAATTAAAAGCAAAACTATAAACAGTTCTAGAATAAGAATAAGTCAGTGAGTATAAAAGAACGTTTAGAAATAAAAAAAAAGTCGTACTCAGAAAAGTTTAAGTACAGAGTTGTAAGAGGAAAAAACAAAGCACACTTCATTAACCCTTTCACTGCCATAGGGACAGCTTAAGCCGTCCCTGTTATTGTCAGCGTATTTGCCATATGGATGGCTTTAGCCGTTTCTATAATAATAATAGTAATAATAATAAATTATAATAATAATAATAATAATAATAAATGTAAAGAAAATTATACAATCGACAATAATTATTATTATACTAACATATTTGGAAACATATGTAATGATTATAATACTAATAACAAATAATAATAATTATATTAATT